AGGAAGTAGTCGCTGGGGGCCAGATCTGGAGAATACGGTGGATGCGAATGTTAGAAGAAAGTCTATTATAGAAAGAATACCATCGTTTTCACTGACTTGTGAGACGGTGCATTGTCTTGGTGAAGCAGGACTTTCTTTTTCTGCAAATGCGGTCGTTTCTCGGCGATTTCGCCCTTCAAACGGTCCAATAACGCTATGTAATAGTCGCTGTTGATGGTCCTTCCTTTTTCAAAGTAGTTAATGAAAATTATTCCACGCGCATCCCAAAATACAGACGCCATAACCTTGATCCTTTCAACTTTACTGTTATATAGTTTCAAACTAAAAGGAGTAATTTTTGAACATGACGCGTTTAAATGATTAAGCCGTTTACAAAGAGAACTTTTACAAGTATTTTAAAGTGTTATCATTAATATTTGTTTTTTTGCAAGAAAATAATTAGCAAATATCATAAGCTATTGATCGTTATCAAAAGCATGAAAATTTTATTTCAAAATTTTTCGTTAGGTTTTTTTCGAGTGAGAGTGATATGTAGCTATAGTTTTTGGTATCTTGCGTGGATTTATAGAATATATCAAAACTGTGTTAATTATTGTAGTTGTATCTGAATGTTAATTTCTGGTGTGAAATTTTTATTGTCGTAGATGTTGTCTCATTGTTTCTGAAATAATACAATATGATATAATAATTGTACGGAAAGATAACAGAAATCAGTTAAAAGTAATCCTTGTTTTGGTAAACACGAAATGTAAAAAGCTTGTTGCTTATGTTGTTTACTATATTTTCCATTTGTTTTTTTTTTCTTTCAGAATTATGGACCTCGCAAAAAGACAACACATTTTCACCTTCATTATTGTAAGCTTTTTAGGTAAGTTATGACATTTTTTATTTAATTTCGTTAATTTGCAATTTCCATTATTTACTTTAAAAAATACAAGTTTTAAATGTACCTAGACTTCATGCTAAGTAAAAATGGAAATTGCAAATTAACGAAAAATTTAACATAAGCTGTGTGCATTTAACACAATTTACAATTAAATATATTATTTAATAAACAACATTAAACTACAATTAACAATCTCATTAAATAGACTTACTAGTCCAATTAGTTTTAAAATAGGTACTGGTTGTAATAAAACATTTAAAAATATAAAACTAATTTTTTTTATCAGAATTTACCTCTTGATTCACGACGTGTTTGTAACTCGCGCTAAATTTTAATAAATACAGCTTCGACCTGAGTGTTAAAAAGAATTTTAATGTTAAAAATGATCACAATTGCAATTTAATTAAGTAATTAATCAGAGCACACTTTATCTACTAGAATCTTCAACAGCTTCTTTATTTGCTGTAACTAATTAATTGAATAATTTGCTTACATACTAGAGACTGTAACTGAACTATTTAAAGTTATTTCAAGTTTCTTAATTATTACAATTCAATTTGTAATATCAACTAAAGTAACTAGTAAATTTATTTCTGCTGGGATTTCATTTTTCGAAATTGGGATCCAAATTTTAATTTTTATTATTTTCTCTTACGAAGCGACGGGGTAGTGGGATAAATTGTAAATATCGCTTTAATATTTAGGTAAATTTTCTCCGTGTAGGGAAAATAACAACTTATCGAGACGCACTACTGTGTATTTTGATGATTCCGGAAACGTAAACATTAAAAAGCTTATCAGAGACTGTGTATAAACCATAAGGGATGAAAGGATTCAATAAGAATCCATTCTGAAACTTATGGGAGAGGAAGGGGTTGATAGTTTAAGAACGTGGTTTTTCACCTTAAAAAATGAAGATTTATCGGATACAAAAAGTGGATGTAGAGTTGGATAAACGCCTACTACCTAGGTAGTAGTCGGACTAAGGACAACATATTTCATCTGATAGACTGACAAGAATGCCTACCACTGACATTTTTGTTTTACAAACTGTTGAAAAGAACAAAATTAAAATAAAATTTCTAAGGAAATTGTTCCGCATTGTTTGAAAATTAATATAAGTAAAACAAAAATAGTGGTATGCATTTTTCGTTTTTCATTTTCTCCGTGCACCCACCACGTTTCATTTGCGAATTTCCGGATTCTAATCGCGTCTTATTGATGAAATCCCCATGACACATCATGTGTTCGATGTTTAGTCTCCTATGACAAGGGACATTTTCACGAACTTCACGTTGTCGATGAAGGATCTCTAACGCTCATGCTGAACTGCAGTTCCTGCATCGACAACGTGGAGGTCCCGAATAAATCCCTTCAAATAAAACGTCGAATACTTTTGACGCCACTATGATCAATCGTGAAGGTTTCCCGTTGCCTTTCACATCACAGTGTTGTCCATCAGAATGCATATCGTCCCCCATGGTCTCATCCACTGAGTTGCTGCCCTCTTTCAGGAACTTCTCTCATCAGTCTGTTTTTCTTTTACTAAAAACTTCATTTCGTTGTTCCGACTCGTTAAATTATTAGTGCGCGAATGCTGATCTACTTGCTTTTTTGTATTCGTTCCAAAAAATTAATGTGTACGTAACAAGTCAATTGAAAAGTCCCCGGCCTAAAATAGTAAAACACATTTTTTTTGCAAAATTCGTTTTTCTTATTCAACATAATTCCCTTCAAGGGTGATACACTGATTATAGCGATCCTCCAACTTTTCGATACCATTTTTGTAGTACGATTTGTCCTTTGCTTCAAAATAGGCCTCAGTTTCGGCGATCACCTCTTCATTCGACGAAAATTTTTTCCCAACGAGCATTCTTTTGAGATCTGAGAACAGGAAGTAGTCGCTGGGGGCCAGATCTGGAGAATACGGTGGATGCGGAAGCAATTCGAAGCCCAATTCATGAATTTTTGCCATCGTTTTCACTGACTTGTGAGACGGTGCATTGTCTTGGTGAAGCAGGACTTTCTTTTTCTGCAAATGCGGTCGTTTCTCGGCGATTTCGTCCTTCAAACGGTCCAATAACGCTATGTAATAGTCGCTGTTGATGGTCCTTCCTTTTTCAAGGTAGTCAATGAAAATTATTCCACGCGCATCCCAAAATACAGACGCCATAACCTTGCCAGCCGACTGTTGCGTTTTTGCACGCTTTGGAGCGGGTTCATCGTGTGCAGTCCACTCCGATGACTGTCGATTGGACTTCGGAGTGAAATGATGGAGCCATGTTTCATCCATTGTCACATATCGACGCAAAAACTCGGGTTTATTACGCGTGATCATCTTCAAACACTGCTCTGAATCATCAACTCGTCGTTGTTTTTGGTCAAAAGTGAGCTCGCGCGGCACCCACTTTGCACAGAGCTTTCTCATACCCAAATATTCGTGAATGATGTGATGTATACGTTCCGTTGATATCTGTAGAGTGTCTGCTATTTCATTCAATTTCAATTTACGGTCATTCAAAATCATTTTGTGGATTTTTTTAATGTTTTCGTCCGTAACAGCCTCTTTTGGGCGTCCACTGCGTTCACCGTCTTCGGTGCTCATTTCACCACGTCTAAACTTAGCATACCAATCCTTGATGGTTGATTTTCCTGGGGCAGTGTCCGGAAATTCGTTATCAAGCCAAGTTTTTGCTTCAACTGTATTTTTTCCCTTCAAAAAGCAATATTTTATCAACACGCGAAATTCCTTTTTATCCATTTTTTTCACAATAACAAAAGTTGCTTCACTAAAAATGCTATAATTCACAAACTAATGATCCGACAGCCGTCAAATTTATAGACGCGTCTTTTGAAGGTTAGGACTAACTGAAAATCATATGGATTTAGTTCTGGTGCCGCCATCTATGTGTCAGGCCGGGGACTTTTCAATTGACCCTATATATACATATAATACCTACCTCTCATATTGGAATTTGTCCCTCTCTAAGTTATTTTTAAGAAAAAATAAACAAATAAGTGGAAATACAAAAGATCAATTGTCCTTGACATAGGCAAACAGACATGTTAATATAATATCAAACTGCGTAACACCATATTGTAATTTTTATTTAATTGAAATGTTTTTAATATTTGAACTCGGCCAGTTTTTATCTACCTACTGTTAGATAAAATTGATATAACACAGACGTGCATGATACTAATTCTTTTTAGTTTTCCGCCACTTCTAATTAATTTTTACGTTTCGTGGAACAATTAGCAAACTGATGTAATAAGCCTGTGTTAGATCTGATGCAAAACGCAAGCTTCTTTTTTATCTCTTTTTAATTTCCTTTTACAGTTTATCCGCTTCCAGATATTGTTTTTTTTTGACATTTTTAATTTTTAATAGTGGTTAATACGAAATATTAATTTCAAAATTCAATTTCAGTTTTTTGACGTGACAACGTCATATAATTCGATAGAGCCGGCTGCACGCACGAAAAAACATGACTCATGCGGCGTTACCTCGCTCTGAGGCGTTCGATTTAAGGCTTGAAGTGCAAGCGAGAGCGCGGAACGAGCGACAAAGAGGCACAATCGGCCTCCGCGTTCGGCAGCGTTCGACATCTGTCTCTCTCCTACTTGAGTGAGCGATGCGTCCGCGTGGACAGCTGCTATACAATAATACATTTCCATTTACCTCCTTCTCTATATCCATACAAAATATCTATCAAACAAATAAAATTAAAATTTTCTTTTGAAAAATGAAACCATTTAATCAGTATTTTCTTATGACGTTGTCACGTTCAACTATCGTCAGTAAACCGACTTTAAAGACATCCGATTTTTTTTGTCCACTACACACTACCTCATGTTAATGAGGGAAAATTTTTGTTGCTGTTGTCACACCTCGCCGGGAATCGAACCCGGGACCTCTAAGCAACAAAAATTTTCACTCTTTGACCTGAGGTAGTTTGTAGTGGAAAAAAAATTGAAAATGAATTTTCACATTAGCATTTTGTATTCTTTTTATTGTTTCAGTATTCAAATCATCCGACTGTGATATTAGAGTATCTACCCAAGACTTAGACGTTAGGATTAATGAAAATACTTCGTTTGACATAATCGTATCGTAAGTACAACCTACTATAATGCCTACAGTCACTTTTCATGGCAATCTGGATTAGAAACGCTTTAAATCGTTGACATAATTGTATTAAATAACCTATACATATAATTATGTAATGCTTTGCGTAAGTAGAAACTGCAATTTCTAGCTTTTATAAAAGTGTGCACATGTATGTATGTACTTAAATATAGAGTTCGTCATACCATTGAGTTAAATGTAAAAATGTTATACACACATATGTAGGTGATTGAAATTAGGCTTTACTTTATATGAATTACTACATTACGTAAGTGACCTGTACCTAATGGATAACCACAGCAATATTTACAGTTTTTGTCTCAATTTTCTTGTTTTTTGCCTGTCTTGTTTTTCCTCTATTATCCATTAGATATCTACATTGTTATACCTAGATAAATGTTAGAAGAAAGTCTATTATAGAAAGAATACGAAAGGTAAAATGTTCGAGGCCTACTTTTATGTTGAAAAATATTAGTTAGGTGTTAACAAAACGTAAACATTTGCATAAGTAAAAGTGAAAAATGTATACAGAAAAACACCAAAGTAAATTACTTGGCGTATTTATTAAAATGCACTAAAAATTTCGCCACTGCTTATTAAAATTAAAAGTAGCATGAACATTTTTTAATAACTGTTGGGGTTGACCGTCGTACTTTATTATTACTTACCCTGGCTCGATCGTAGAAGTACGATTTTTCTTGATTTCAAGGACGAGAAACTGCAAATAATACAAGATAAGAAATCGCATTTTTTAGAATCCTCAGCTGGTGGAAATTGCTACCCCAGCCGAAAGAGTAAAGGCAATTTCTAACCACCTACAAAATGTTGCGTATTCTTTTCTGAAATCAGGGAAAAACAAAAGTTTTATTTGTAGGTACTTTTCCCTGCTAATTTGTACGAACGACGTTCATTATCAGTTATCATTAATCAGTTACTTGATTAAGTACATGCTTTTCTTTTATCAATTTCTATAAAGGAATTTTGATTAATATTGCTTTTACAAATAATACAAAACACTTTAATCTGAACCATCAACTAAAAGTTGTTTGTTTTTCACATATTAGCTTGTAATGAATAATAAAATTAAATACACGCATGGAATAATACGTGCTAATTTATAACAAAAAATCTTTTAATTAATAATTGTACATATTGCTTGTGCACAGGTATAGCAGGTGTAGTTCGAGACAAAAGCAGAAGTAGACCAAGCATTTCTAATCATAAATGGATTGTTTTTATAATCTTTTAATGCTATTTTAAGTTTTTAAGCATCTAAAATGATCAAAACTTATAACGAAAGTCCTTGTTTTTGTTTTTGTTAATTTTGCTGCATTTAAAAATCTGAAACAACAGCAGGTAGGTCTTTATGCAAAAAAAAATAAATATCTATCTTCTTTAAAAAATATTAGTTGAATAACATCAAGGTCATAGGAGGTAAATTTGATGGCTTTTAGGTATAAACAACATAACAAAATAGACCCAAAAAAGATAAAAGTAAAAAAGTTTTACCACTTTTTAAAACTGTCAAGAATCACGCACTCTTAAAATGGTTAAAACTTCTTTATGTTACATCTGATTTATAATATAGAGTGTTTATTTTGTTTCGTTGTTAATTTTTAATAGCTTCATTCATCTGTAGAATTTTATTTAGTGACATTGTTGAATGTTACAGGCAGATACTATATAAACGCCGAACATTTTAAAAATCGGTCAAAAAATAAAAAATTTTGACTAGTTAAAGAGTGAATGTTGTATGACGGTTTTAAAGAATGTTGAAACTTCTCATTTTTCACCTGACTTATAACGTTTAGTGTCTACCTTGATTTATTGCTAATGATTAAATTGATCAAATTTTGCAGATTATATGTCTGATACAATTTAGTTATACATATAAACTTTATTGGAACATGAAGTTATTTTTTCTACAAGTTTTTTCTTATCCTAATATTCAACTCTACTTAACTTATCTAGCTTAACAAATATTCAAATGACCGGGGCTCCATCATCTTAAATAAACTCACAAAAATTAACTTTATATTTCTCAACCCTAAATTGCATACTGTTATGAGTCTTTATATTTCCGTTATATACGTATTTTGTTTTATTTTTTGTAGTATATAAATCTCCGCCCCTCTCAGTCTTCTACTATTTTTAATTACCTGTAGCTATTCTTCCCACTTCTTCAATTTTGCCCCATGTACCTTCGTTTTAACTTTTCATTCTTCCTTTACTTCCACTTTCAGCCACATCTTCTCTTTTATGAACCTTGTGTCCTCCCTCTTCTTTAATCCAAAAACATCAGGTTTTCTTTCTTCTTTCTCCTTTTTTTTCCAATTCAATTTCCAAGCTTCTTACTCTTTTCTTTTGTTTCTCTCCTTGCTTATACATATTTTTTTATATCCAGCTCCCTAGTACCGCGTGCTTTACATCTGCTTTCAAGTTGTTTTTTTCCGCTTAAAGCCATTCCAATATTTTTTCCCAATGCTTTAAACCATTCCCTACATCTTTCTTCAATCCAAAATCCAATCTTTTTTCCCAATTCTTGTAATTTTCCACCTGTCTTCTGTAGTTTTTTCGTCTTTTCCTTTACAATTAGTTATTAACAATTTTTGTGTAATTCCTTTCAATATGTTCAAATCATTTCCATTTTTCTCAATCATTTCTCTCTATTTGTCCCCTTTCTTCCTCCTGGATATGCCGGTTCTTCTTATTTCTCACGGAATGTCCGTTCTTCTTCTGTTATTATTTGTTCTTTTTCCTCAGCCCTATCCATAGTACCTCATCTATTATTAACTTCTTCTATCCAGCTTTAATAGTATTATTCACATTTCTTTTTTCTCCTCTTTTACCATTTGCTCCAACTTCTTCTGCATTCCTCTCTCTTTTCTCTCTTATTCTTCCCACTTCTCCATTTTTGCCCCATATACCTACATGCTTCCTTTACTTCAACTTTCAGCCTCATCTTCTCTTTTATGAATCTTTCCACCTCCCTGTTCTTCTTTATTCCAAAAACATCAGGTTTTATTTTTCTTTCCTTCTTTTCTTTTTTAGTTCCATTTCCAAGTTCCTTACTTTTTTCTTTTGTTCGTCTCTTTGTTTCCCCATATGCTTTTCTATCTTCAGCTCTTCTAGTACCGTCCCCTTTACTTCTACTTTCAAGTTGATTTTTAAACCATTCCTTACATCTTTCTTCATTGTATTTGTCCAATATTTTTTTGAATTTTAGTAATTTTCCACTCTTTCTTCTCTAGTTTTTATATCTTTTCCTTTATAATTACTTATTAACTGTTTTTGTGCAAAACTAATTTCTTTATCAGTATGATTTCGATCCTTGGGGAGTAATTTCTAAAAATGTTTTCTCAAAAATGTCATTATTTCCATGATATGCAAGTGGTAACTATTGAAGTTGAAGTGCCTATAGTTGGGACAATCAAAATTCAAAGTGCGTAACAAATTATCTGTGAGAATGAACATACAAAACGGTAGTCATTTGCTGCGTTTTGAACACGCCCTTGTTAAATTAGGAAATGCTTCATAGGTAGTGCAGCTCTTTTAAATGTAATTTTCAAATCAGAGTACAAATCAATGGCCTTATTATTTCGAAATAATCTTTCAAAAGTGATCCTTTTTTAAACATGTTTTTCATACTCATTTTAGATGCTTACAAAACGTATTAGCGTGAATAAATTCTGCTTAAACTGTATCATTTTTTTCAGTGATATACAACTAAACAATGTAAAGTTGAACATACTTGTAGAACATGACGACATACTCAAAGTATTTCCCAGTACCCTATTTTTAAACAACAAACCTAATAGTACAACAAAATATAGCATTACTGTTAAAGGCACCTCTGCAGGATCTTCAGATGTGTATACTAACAGTTCATACACACATCTTAGGTAAGTCATTTCGTTTCTATACAAATTTTTATTAATAGAGATAAATCTTGTAAATTCACTTCTATTTTACTTTAAGTACTACAGGTCAATTAAGTTGTCCAGCAATTCACTTAATTTAGTAGTCAAAGTTTAATGTAAATATGCTAACAGTTTTATTAATTTTTATAATGCGTGAGATGTTTAAATAAAGAATACATTTTTGTTAGGTATTGATGAATTACAGACGCGAAACGGATCTTAACTACAGTGAGTCCAAGTTAGATCTCTATGACTTATTTGAATATAATCGATACAAAATATTGATTGCAATTAAGGATCTACTTTAATGAAATCCTAATGTGCATATAATTTAGTAAAAATATAGCTCATTTTAACATATTCGAAGTAGTTGTCGGAATTACCAGTATCGAATTTTTTATCAGCAAATAATTTTTCGAATTGTTTTAACTCCTCCTACAACCACCCTGTTCGTTTTTTACTGTAAATATCACAACATGTCTAGCATTTCGAAACCCACCACAAGATAATTTTTCAAATGAAAACCATACGTAAATTGACATTTGAGTGTAATGACCGTGAAGGTCTAACTAACCATTAATGTTTAATTACCTTTTGTTATTCATTTTGAATTCTCTATTATTGCATGTGAACAAATCACCCAATATTATCGTTTGTTTTCAAATATTTGACGTTTTGCCATTAGTAATAAAAGTATTTGCTTTAATGGCAAACAAAAATTGTCTACTTGGTACTCATAGTACTTCACAGAAGTTCTGATATAACGTAATCATTCTTTATTCTGATGAAAATCGCGTCTTGGAATCGTACCTACTGCAAAGTCGCAGCTGATATTCTTATAGGAAGGAAAAATTAGTTTCACACACATTGACTTGTCTCCTTCCTTTTCTGGCCTAGAGATGTTCTTTTCTACTTTGCGCCGGTCAAACTAAAGGTCACATCGCTACAGAAAGTAAACGAAGTATAGTACATGTAAAGATGAATGTTATTAACTAAATTTGTAAATATGAATATACTATAAAATTAAGATTAAATAACTTTGTACCCTCTGAAGAAGTCACAATATGACGAAACAGTTGTCAACTGAATGAAAGGAAGGTGGTAGAGTAGAAATACTCTATAATTTTAGTTTATAATATCTATCCCAATAAAAGTAAATTCAATTCATTATAACTGTCATTTACTCTAGTTTGTAGTAGATTAAAATTTGCTACTTTAGTAAGCAATCGGTTTTGAGACTAACTAAATTGTGAATTTTTGCAATTTTTCTTTCTAAATCTAATTGATCTTAAAAAAAACTTTAAAGTTTTTGAAATATCTAGTAATAGGTTTTCTAAAAAATAAAATCATACTTATTGTTAATACAGATATTTTGTTGTAATGACACATATGGTCTCGATATAATGAAGTCCATTTTAGTATACAATAATAATCAGAAAAATGCTTCTTTTCTTTTAGTTTATCCGATGTTTTTGTCGTTGTAAATGTATATAAAAACAAAGCTTTGGATTTAGCATCAATAATAATAGGATGGACGTATTTCGTAGCCTGGTCAATTTCGTTTTATCCACAAATATATATCAACTTTCGTAGGAAAAGGTTAATACTATTTTGTAATAACAAATTTAAAAACATAAGTTAACGTACATGTTGTTTGTCTGTTTTAGTGTTGTTGGTTTAAATTTCGATTATGTAGGGCTCAATATTGTGGGCTTTATAATGTACAGCATCTTTAACTTGGGATTATACATAATTCCGGAATTACAAGTAAGTAAAAATGCACACCTATTCTAAAATTATTTATCATTGAACTATTGTATTTACGTCATGGACATTTTATGAATGCACGAACCAATCTAATCGTAAAATGTAAACGTAGAGCTAGTTCAGAATATCATGAACCTTCATCATCATATTATACATTACAAAAATATTTACTCGGCTGTTAAGCATGTGCTTACTATACAGCAGAGAAGGAGCTAATGTTTTTAAGGCAGAAATGTAGAATTTAATGAATTGTGTTTTAGAAAATCCGAAATAAATTGACACGGAGAATTGTTACATCATTTTAAGTAGGTATAGTCAAATAGGTCGTAACTTTGTATGCTACACAGTATAGGTCCCAACTTATTTGGGTGTTGTAAAATAGAGTTTATTTTATTTATTAAATTAATTATTGGCATAACTAGAATACTAGATCCGAAGGTATTTCAATAAAATTGCTTCAATATATTTAATCAATCGCAATAAAAATTCACAGTAAAACAAAAATTAATTATTGGCATAATTAGAATATTAGATCCTCAGGTATATGAATTAAATCGCTTCAATCTATTTAATCAATCGCAATAAAAATTCACAGTTAAATAAAAATTAATTATTGGCATAACTAGAATACTAGATCCGAAGGTATTTCAATAAAATTGCTTCAATATATTTAATCAATCGCAATAAAAATTCACAGTAAAACAAAAATTAATTATTGGCATAATTAGAATATTAGATCCTCAGGTATATGAATTAAATCGCTTCAATCTATTTAATCAATCGCAATAAAAATTCACAGTTAAATAAAAATTAATTATTTGCTTAACCAGAATACTAGATCCGAAGGTATTTCAATTAAATTGCTCCAATCTATGTAATAAATCGTAATAAAAATTCACAGTAAAATAAATATTAATTATTGGCATAACTGGAATAGGTACTAGATCCGAAGGTGTTTCAATTAAATTACTTTAATCTATTTAATCAGTCAAAACAGTAAAATAAAAAATAATCATTGGCACACTGATATAAGTGTAATTGGTAAAAAGTGACTTAATTCTAACTTTTACAATGTATTGCATTATTAAGAAAAGATTAAAGTCAAACATGTTTTATCGCTTTTTTTTAATGTATGTGATTGTTGTTGTTTCCATTGAAACGCAATAAAACTGATTGTCTCTAAAAATGCGATATCTTTGAAAATAAGCTACGTACTTGTAAGTGCAGACACATTATTACACGTGTCTACATTTGTAATTTTTCAAAAAAATATTATTAGGTAATAGTACTTTTACGATGAATTTAGACAATGGAGGCTCTTATCTTCAAACAGGTTAAGACTAAGACTCTTATCAAAACATAAAATTACTCCCTGCCGCAAATAGTTTCTACCTATTTAAGAATACGAAATACGAATAGATCGTAGCGATTGCAAGAATAAATATTTCGAGATCTAAAACTTCAATTTCTTATATTTTACGTATCAATAGTCAAATCAAATTAAGCGCTTCAAATATTAGAAATTATTTGTGATATACATTGCCTTTGCATACGATAGGTACTTATGCTAGATGTTAAGAAAAACCTTTCTATGGAAAATTATCCATATTATCTGAAAATGTGTGTCAGGTGTGTCGAAAAAAAAAACAATAGATGCCTATTCATTGAGAAATTAATAAGATAGGAACGCATATAGCAGCTGAATCTTTTTTATGTATTGTAAAGAGTGCATATAGACTCAGAACAGTAAGTGAAACAATTACATTAGTTTCAACTTTAAATAACAAAATAATTTAATAGAAAATTAGATTTAAAAATCATTTGGTTTGATTGGAGATTTATCGAGACCTATAGCGTGGTGATGGGAGTAAATAAGATCGAAGTGTGGTTTTTGGAACAAAATAAATAAAACCTAGTAGTGTATAAGTCCCTTAATACTAAATCTAAACTTCCTTTCAAAATTTTACAGAAAACACTAAAATATTTGCAATTAATTTCACAATTTCATCATTTCTCTGTTTAAAAAATGTGTTCCATATTCATCTTTGAAATTGATCCAAAAAAGAAACTTTTCTAGTGGAAGTATTATTTATTTATTTCTTTACTGTGTTAGTTGTTCGTTCACCATTCACAAAATTTTTTTTTAAATAACAATTTATTGTGTATTTCTATATTTAAACACACGTGTACCTATACGTAAATTAATAATAACTGCAACAACAATTTAGTTTGTTTTTGTTTCTACATTTTCTTTTTGTATTGCTGACTAAGCAAGTGCAGCGTCCTTGCTGTCTTTTGTTTATTTATAAATTAAGTTTTAAAAATAGTAATAACGTAAAAATTTGTCTGGTTAGGTACCTTTTATGTATTAAAATATGCAATATTATAAATTTAAAGATTAATATAAACGATTAGGTATCTCTACGTCATGTAAAATAACAGCATTAAAGTGAAATCCCTGCATTTTCAGCAGATATAATAATTACTAATTTTATTATTACATGTTAACAACTTCCACATATTAATACATAAGTTATCATTTTTGTTTGTTTTTCAGTTATGTAATAAGTTTTGCATAAATTATTGACAATGTTATAATGAATGGTTAAAATATTACGAATTAAATACATAATAATTAATCGTAATATTTTCGTATAATAAATTCAAATTTAATAAAAAACTAGCAGAATTTTGCAAGGGAAATGTGCAAAAATAAAGACTTAAAACCTCAAAATTTACTTCAAAATAGTAATAGTAATACTTTTATCGTTTTTAATGGGGCCCTAAACGTGATTATTATTTATTTATTTAAAATACGTACATGTTCTACAGCAGAAGCCGTACCTAATCTGGGAGTGTTGTATTTCCTCCTAGGGTAACGTTCTAGCTAAAAGCTCTAGACGCTATACGTAGAACCGTTTGACTAAGTTTTTATCAAAGATTCACAAACAATTATTAATTAATTAAATTAAATTAACTTCATAAGATGTGATAGTACATACATTAATATATGTATTTAGGTTTGCTCAGAGGTAATTTTTATTTTGAAAGAATCATCTACTAAAATTTCAAAAGAAAAACAATTTTTAATGAACAATATTCATTTGTTTTGACTAGTTTTAAGGGAAGTTTTTCTTATGTAGTTTCCCTTCTATTCAACTTTAAGAAACTCAATAAAGCAACTTCTAAAACGAAATCATCAATAATTAGTAAATTATTTACTTTCTTGTAAGAATTGCAAAGGAAATATAATATAATTTAATCGTCATTCACTTTTAAGTATTTTTGAAAAAACTCTTGTTAATACTATTGTCTCGTATTTAAAGTACTGAATGTGAGTTGTTCAACGTTTGTTTTTCTTATTCGTTTCAGAATGAATATTCAAACAGGTATCCCAGAGGATTAAATCCAGTTCAAATAAATGATGTATTTTTTTCGGTGCACGCTGTAGCAGCAACCTTTGTGGTAATAGTGCAATGTTTTATTTATGATAGGGGCAATCAGAAGGTGTCGTTTACAGCCAGAACAATTTTGGGAGGAATTGCAGTTTTCCTTGGAGTTTCTGTAATATTATCGTCGGCAAACGTTGTTCATTGGTTGGATTTCGTTTATTTTTGTTCTTACATTAAACTGGCGATTACTTTGATAAAGTATATTCCCCAGGTAGGTCATTTTATTTATTTATTTGTTTCTTTATTTATTATTTTATTTATTTCTTTATTTATTTATCTATCTGTCTATCTATGTATTTATTAACCTAATGATTGTATTATATACGACCCTCTTAATAAAATTTAACTTTTTTACACCATCAAAAATCAATACAATTTTTCCTTAAATTAATCAGTACAATCATACAAAGCACCAAGTTTTTTATATACATATATACAATTTGATTATAAAATTTGTCCTTACAGGCTTACATGAACTATAAAAGAAAAAGTACAGTTGGATGGAGTATTGAAAACATTCTATTAGATTTTACCGGAGGCATTTTGAGTATGCTGCAGATGATATTAAGTGCATACAATTACGGTAAGATTTTTTAAGATTTTGTTAAAACTCGTAAGAAATGAAATTTAAAATTATACGCCACTTTAAATTAATAATAAATTACATAATT